CAGTGAAAGACGGCACAGCTGCAATCTCCCATGCATCACGCCCAGATTGTGAACCGCTGTTGAGGGTTATAGTGATAGTTTGGCAGTAAGCAGTTCTCATACACAGCAAGCTGTGGTAAACCCCTAGCATGACACCAGTGCTACAAGGCTAGAAGAAAGGAACTAAAGAAGCAGCCCAAAACAGAAGGAAGAAAGAATTTAGGTCACCCAGGCTCTACCTGCCACTTAACTTCCCTCTCTTCGATAGTCTACCTGGCATCTGCAAGCTGCTGCAAGAAAAGTGACAGGAATCTCAGCAGAAAGCTCTGTCGCACCTTGTCCCTGTGCAACAATTCAAATTTACCCTTTTAACCAGGCAGCATCTATGCACACTTCAATCACTGACAGCATAAAGCTGTGCACAGTGCTTGGGTTTGGGCTCTGAAACTCATATCCCATCTCAGCTCATCACAGCTCAGAAAGCATGGCCCAGAGAACGCGGTGCCAGGTTCTTCTCAGCCCTTGCACTACAAGGAAGAAATAGTAGGAGCTTAGGGTCAGAAGCATGGAGGATACATTTGTTGTGTGTTTAAGCTGTGTTGCTGAAGATGTTTTGCTCTGCTTTGCATGTGTGTCTGTTCTGGGTGGCTTTCCTTGCGTTTAAAAAAAATAGACATACTTAAAGTCTACTTTACAAAACCTCAGCAAATTAACACTGATCTTTTCCAGACAATTCTTCAAATGAATGTTCTGCACATGCCTCCTCACAGCATGCAAAGATTTAGATACGCTGGAGCTGGCTCCACAAAGGATGCTCTCTAACAAGAGGAATTTAAGCACTGATACCAGTTCAATTTGACGCTTTTTGATTTTAATATAAAAAGACATACTTTCTGCAAGGAAGGATTCAGCTTTCCTCACTAGAACCCTAGTACAGACTTTGCAGGCTAAACCAATTCACAGATAAGCACTTTTCATAAACATTACATATTTCTTGGCTTACACAGGTTCTGGAGAATGAAAGAACAGGCTGTGCTGACATCTGGTGGCTTTCTCTGCAGACAAAGACAGTTTATGGCAATAGGTCTTGGCTTTTTGCTGCATTTTTTTGCATCCCCGATGTAACTTCTCTCATTTCCTTCCAAGATACAAAGCATTATGATAAAAACATTTTTGTTTCCACTGTCCAGTGGACAGTGCTGTCCTATGGAAGTCCTCCTGTAAAGCAACAAAGGATCCTTTGTTGTGCACTATTAGCAACAGTGTAGAAAAGGTCTCCTCTTTATTTCAAAGCGTATTTCTTCATGAATAAAAAAAAAAAAATGTACATTCATGTACATGCCACAGGAAATGCTACTGTTGCGTATCAGATGAGGTGTAAACCTAACCATTAAAGCATGCAAATCAGCAGAGGTGGCAGCAAGGAGCAAAGGGAAGTGGCAGGGAAAACATGCAAAGGTGTGTCTGTTTCTCTAAGTCAATAGGAAAGCAGACAGTAGGAAAAAGTCAGTGTCCTGATAATATGAAAAGTAGTAAAATTGTCTTCTGGGCATCATTGCTTGATTCATTAATCTTTTGCAAATCTGTGCCAAGTAGTACTTCGAAAAGGAAGCCAGGGAAGGAGGATCGGGTGCCAACAAGCAAGACTGAGCTCAGTCCAAACTGTTCAATAAGCAAAAGCGTGCCCCTGCCTTAAGCATTTGTAATGCCTCCAGCTGGCCGAAGTTCCTCTGAAGCCAGGATCCTGTCAGTCATATGAGACCAAGAATCGCATGTTCTGTCTTCTCACTCCCGATCTCTGGACACTCAGGATCTCTGTGGCTATCAGCTTGCAAGGACAGGACCATGGATGTCCTGTCATGGCTGGGGTAACTCTTGGACTGTTACTTGCAAGCTCTTTTTTAAGTAAATGATCTGTCAGGTGACATGCTGAATACTTCCAGGGAGTGAGAGAGAAACACCACAGCTTACAACTTATCTCTGGATCACCTCTAAGACAGAGTGTTTTACATCTGATAAAGCAGTTCCCCAACTTTAACAGTGGTGCATATCAGATCTTTGAGGACTCCTTTATGCCATTGGTAACTCTCAACATTTAACTCAGCTATCCATGTCAGCAGTTTTCTTAGCTCTTGCTTCTTCAAGAGGCAACATAATTACCTCTGGACAGAAAAATACACAAAAACTGCTGCATGCAGAAAATGTAACATGACAGAGCCAGAAAAAACAAGATGCCTATTCCAGCAGTTCATGAGTTCGACTCAAAAAATTATTAAAATGCACCATTTTCATACCTTTAGTGGTATAAAAAGCAGCACTACTCCAGTATTTCTGTGCCAATAGTGTTGTATAGTCAAGATTTTGTGTGCTTATTCAGTTACACTGTTAACCTCTTCTTCCTCTTCATGGTAATTTCTTTCTTAATTTCCTCTTCTCCTTTAGTAGCTATTATTCCACATCTCCTTACAAAAACTCCAGACTCTCTGAAGTGATTTTCTTTCTCCAAGAAACACCCAAGGCCCACACACATCCCTGGCTTCCAGTTTGACTGCCTTTCCCTGCTACAGTGCAATAACCCAAGAAAAGTTGCATCTTATTTCAGCGTCCACTCTGGATGCTGTTGTTTTTGTTTAAAAAAAAGGCTAGTGAAAGACTCCAAGGACATCATACTGGAAGATGAATCCTTATTAACCCCAAAGCTATATGATTTACCCCACTACACATTATGGAGAAGCCACCTTTGACTAACAGTAATTGTAAACCGATGCAGTTCATGACTTCTGCCAGGATAACAAACCATGGTACCAACTCTGTAGGTGGTTTCCTTCAACAGAAAGAGGATTTCACAACAACATAGGCAAAGACATCTCAGTCTTTAGTAATTTATTAGCCAGTGTCCACAGATTTCATTCAGTACTCAATGACCCTGGAATCAAACCTACTTTGATACAAGGCTATATCATATCCCACCAAAAAATGTTGGAACAGCATCTATCTTAACAAGTTCCCAGTTATTATCTATGGTTTTGTGGGGTTTATTTGAAAGAAGCATTATTAAAGGTCCAGTGAAAAAAACCACAGTAGAAAAACACTTCAGAAAGAATCCAGTTTACAAGTGTGGTCATTGAGAGCATTACAAAAGGCTTTACTGTGCTGCTGCAGAAAGGAGCCAATGAAGTGCCATTGCCAGAGCGAATAGAGCTCAGAAAGCAGTAGTTTAACTCTTCCCTTGGAAATAGAAGCTAATCTGGAATGCCAGACACATCATTCCTGAATATTTGCATTAAAACATTTACCGTTTTCTTGTTGATGCTGTAGAATTGCTCTTTCACTGTGCCACACTCCATGTGGCACTGAACGTTTGTAACTGTAGTAGCCAAGAAAGGACAATTGTTAAAATTTGGTGATTCTTTCAAACACAAATGTCCTAGAGAAAAGAGATCACAAAAACAATCCAAATCTGTCTGAAGGGGCTGAAGACCAAATTCAAATCCCGAGAACAGGAGGAAGAGAATGACAGTGTTTGCTCAGTCTGAGAGCCTGAGTGTGCTGATGGACGTCATCTAGATGCCCTGGTAGGACAGTCTGAGACATTGATTTTTCTGGTATGACATCTACGTCTTACAAAGATACCTTCATTATTGTAAATTTGGCTGAACAAAGCTGGTGTACTCTGGAGTGCAATGCATTAGCTTAGACTCCTATTAGCCAGATTAATCTGGCAAACATGACAGACTGTGTAAGAAGGTAGCTGAGACACGGGCCCATGTTTGGGGAGCAGGTACCAGCAACAGAAAGGCGGCCTGGACAGAAAGAGGAGGCAAGTGGTAAGTTTTCCTCACGAATTCATCAGAGCATGCATAACAGCATCTAAATCCCAAGAGAACACAGGTGACTTCAGTGACATAGGACTCCTCCTTACAAGATAAAGATACAACCACCCTTTTAATCGCAGATGACAAAGTGGTAGACCACTTTCACAAGAGAACAAAACTCTGAAGCAAAGCTGTTGGTGAGTAACACCAGCTACCGAAATGAGCCTAAACCAGAGAGTTGTCAGGAAGGATGAAGAAAATGAGGTGGGAACAATACATAGAGGTTTCTTTGGCCCTTCATCTAAAGTAAAGAGAACTTTTATGGAGGTACTTTGGAAATCACACATCTGCTTTCACTATCACATGTCAATAAAAAAAAACATCAAAGCTCTAGGAAATGGTAAGCTTACTTCTCTGGAAAGTCTCTAGTGGAAATGGTGTTGTCAGCTCTCACCCAGAGCTGAGGGTAGATGTGTGGGTCTAAAGCAATTGCACATGAGGTCTCATTTGATTTAGCAGAGCCTATGCCCAAAAAGCCTGCTAAGGCAGAGAGCCAGCATCATTTCTATTTCAGTGAAGAGAGGCTTAAATGCACAGTGTCCCATCTTGGTAACCCCAAAAAGCAGTTTCATAAGCAGTGTCTATCTAAAGATACTTTATTGGATGCATGATTATTTTTTCTTATTCTTGATTTGGTTAATGTAGTAGGAAAGCCTGGAATTACCAAGAGCTAACATATAGCAACAGAGTATTTGGCTCTTGGAAAGCAGGAGCTCTTGAAGACATGTGGCTTGCAGACTGGGCCTCTCCTTGCAAAAATGCAATCATTCAGGTTTCATTCTTAAAAATGAAACCATGAGCTTCACTCCGTTTGGAAAAATGCCCGATTCCTACTTATGCACACTGATGTCCTGGCAGAACTCAGGTTGCTACCTCGTACATGAAGGTGTCTCCATGAAATAAAACTAGAAACAGGCAGCTGCTCCTTGAACACAAAAGCCTCCCAACAGTCATTTGTCCCTTTCAGCATGCTAAAGACGGCTGGAAGAGAGTATAAAGGAAAGCATTCACCAGTGAAGAGCACGAAACACTTGCCAGTCTGCACCAGTTAAACAAAAGAGACCAAACATAAAATGAGAGAAGTAAAGCTATGACTCGAAACAGAGAAATTCTCTTCTCAAGCTCTCTAAAATACCCAGTGATTTGGTCATAAAACGTTTCCATTTTCATTAGAAGTTAGTACTGTGATGGGATCTTACTGTGCATTGTATAATTTCCATATGTAGCTAATGTCTGCTGTAGGATCACACCAAGAAAGTGTGTCACAGGTCAGAGATTGCACTGCCTGCATCGTAGGAGGCAAGCAAATGAAAAAGAAATGCGAGAAAGAAAGTAATTTATGTCCCCCAGTTTTCCTTCTCTCAGTCTTAGCATATTGACAGAAATTAATTTCTATAGGAAGGGAATTGCACTGTTTGCAAAGCAATCCTCTAGGATTTATTGATCTTTAAGAAAAATCTCATTAAGCAGAATAAGGAAAATGTACAACAGGTATGGGAAAACAAAACAATCTCTTGGGATCTTCACCAGGCCGAAACAGGATTAGCTTTGTAGTTTCTGTAATCTTCCTCACAGAAGAATGCTAATTCGGTCTCATTTGCTAGAACGAATAAAAGATTAAATATTTAGCACACCAGTAACAGCCAGCTATTTAGAATCTTAGAAGACAATTGGCAACTTTTTGGTCAAAGACAATTATAAATCACCACACACTTTTTTCTTCCCCTTATTTTTGTGCAAAAAAGATTTCAGTATTAAAGATGTCGGTTAACCTTGTTAAAACCAAAACAAAACAAAATAAACAAACAAAAAAAAGAACCTTAATATATAGAAGTAAATATGTACACAAGACCCCTCAAGATTTGTTTAACACACCCTTCAGAATTGTTTGTATAAGCATTCAGCAAATTAAGTGATTGCATTTCTAACGCCTTCAAATGCTAGAAAAATAATGAAGCATGATCTTCTCTTTTTCTGTGCATTTTTCTGTTAGGAAAGGGAAAAAGAAACTATTTTTTCCATTAAATTAGCCTGTAGGTATGATAATTTAATACTTAGAGAATCAGTAGAATATTTTACAGATCACTTTACATTCTCCCTCATGACCCATCAAAATATGTGTCTGAAGAAGTTAATTTTTTGCCGTGCTGATGATTAATTCATGAGGCTTCAACAATATGCAAAGTGAAAGACACAAATTGGCTTCTCCAGCAATACCTTCAAATACCTCTAATTATTCACAGGGGATATGGCAGAGCTAAAGGACCCACAAAGGTTCAGAGCAGTCACAATTCTTTCAACCCAGTAGGTCAAGGACTTCCTCTTCTAAAACAGTAAGTCAGCAACATTACTAATTCAGAACAGAGACAAATCTGATGGAAAGCCTTCACAATTATTAAACATGGAATTCTTTAAGGTGCTGAGCCAATAAGTTCCACATTCATTTTTTAAATTAAACCTGAAGTTAATGAAGTCTGCCTGTTTTGAAAAAACTAAAAAAAAAAAGAGCAGAAGGGGTTTTAGAATCTCAACTAGAAAACAGACAAGACTGTTAGCAATGAATACTGAACACTTTTATTAACATATACCCTGCTCTTAAAAAAAACAAGCAAGCATTAACTTTGCTGAGTAGATAATAGCTGTAATAATAATCACTACCCACAGAGGCTTTCCTGAGGATACTTATCTAATGTCCTCATAATTTATAACTCTCTAGCCCAACCCTGTAAAGTGCCAAGGGCAATCAACTGCAGCTTAGAAACAATGTTCTGCGTGTCTCGGAATTTCCCAGATTTTCTAACAGCAATTTCTGTTCTATTCTAGTAAATCTTGTCCAGACTAGATATTGGAAAAACATAGTATGTCAATAAGCGATTTCAAATCTTCTTACTGTTTTAAACTGTACAAAATGAGGACTAGTGGTATATGCTATCATACTTCACTTTCTTTGTTTACTCTTTTTCACTTCTTGTTGAAGGAGGACGACTTCTTCAAGATTTTACTACAAAGACCCCACTCCTAACTTACCTAATTTTCATATCAAGATACACTGGAACATATCAAAATTCAAAACGGTATAATGGCACACTGCATTTTACAAAGCAAGAGTTTTTCTTTTCTATCACAAATTCCCACGACATACTAATGACTAACTGCTTTTAGTTATTCTGAAAAAAATAAAAAGCAGTTTTAAATTGTTTTCTGCCCTGAGTAAGCCATCCCTCTCTTTGTACAGAGGCACAGAACAGGCTGGTCTATTCCGATTTCCTTTCACTATAACATTTACTCTGATGTTTTGACACCTTTTTCGAGATCACATCCAACGGTTTCACTGCTGTAGCTACAAACCTAGTTTCAAAGATGGGTAATATATACAAATATTTATCAATACCTTTTTGAAAGAAGGCAGCTCTGGACAATGTTGTTTCTAATTCAACGTTTGGCACTGTCATCAGTCTCTCTCCTGAACTGCATTGCCTCTTATGCCTTAGGTAGATAAAAATCATGCTTAAATGAATCTTCTGCTAACTAAATTACAAATCTGTAAGACTTGAGTGCCAGTAACCCTCCTTCCTGAGGAACCTTTTTTTTTTCTCCAGATAGAAAGACCTGTTTAGTACAAACAGCCAGATACTATCATTCATATTATAGGAACACTCAAAGACCTTTAGGAAAGGTATACTGAGGCCAGTTGCAGTGCACCCCAGAGAAAAATATAAAAGAGACATCCCATGTCACTTAAAAACAGAAAGTAAATGGCAGGAAACAAAAGAGCCAAGAAACCTATGAGAAAGAAATCCCATTCACTAGCTGGGGAGCAATCAGAGGGCATCAGGAACAGGAGGGAGCTTTCTCTGCGACACCCCTGCACTTATAGCGTAGGCAGTTATGCGTTCCAGCTAGGTAAATCAGATTCAAATGAGCAAATGTTCATATCAAGGTGGAATGCAACTACATCCCTTAAGTACCCTGCTGCCACAAAGTCATTCAGCCACATTTATGAGAAGCCCAAAGGACATCCAGGGACCATCAGTTTTATCATGGCAGACATTTCTTTACATTATTACCAAAAGACATGCCCTATATGTAGTCCCCTGTCAAAATGTGAGAAATCAGGTCAAGTTTCAACTCTTTGCTATGTTCAACACATTCTCTAAATGATACTGCTTGAGCTTTCCTGAGCAATCTGGCTATCAAGCACTGTATGCTGCACATTAAACAAATCTAATCTTATTTCATTATTCCATGCTGGTTCCACTACTTACATTTCTAACCAAAACATCAGTTTAAATGTTACTGATAAGACTAAGCAGACACGGTACTAATAACCTATCTGTCAATCATTTAAAATTACTCTCAGCAGAATTATAAGCATATCCTCTAAAAATCACAATTTGCATTCTGAACATTTGGAGTGCAGATACCTGCTGCCCTCAGTCCAATGATTTGAATGTACATTATCCCCCCTTCTTCCCTGAATAATTACCAAGTAGTGTAAAGAGCATCAGGAATAGCATTTACTTTTCAGCAGGCTATCCAAACATAATCAGCCAGTTACCAGTTTAATGACAACCACAACGAATAGCACCTTCAGTCAATACAAATGTACTCCTACCTACTCCAGCTGCTTTCAGCGTACTGTCTTCTTTCAAAATCAGTTTGTCGTCATCTTCCAAACTCACTACAAGTTCAGCAGTCTATAAATCAGAGAACCAGAATACAAAGATAAGAATAAGAATTTACTGACTGTCTCTGCCCCAGTCTTGTTTGACAGTGCAGAGATCTGCCTGCATTAAGGCATGTAAAAGGGGAAGAGTACAACTAATAATCATACCTTAGATTTGTGTGCTTGGTGAATAATCTTCATTGTATCTGAAAGAAAATACAATGTTTTCCTAAAATAAGGCTTAATAGGCAGGTAACACTGAAAGCTGTACTTGGGGAAGGACAGCCAAACAAAGGGTAAGGTTCAAAATATTTTATTAACAACAATTTTGTGTATTCAGTCTAGAAGAGGAGAAAACATCCTGATTTCCCAGTCCTGCAGCCACAGTTTTAAACCAGTCAATCCAACACTAAGGTACCACATCCTATTAGGCTTCTGTCTGCTGGCTGAATTACAATAACTAACTAATGACCATCCCAATTGCCAGTCAAAACACATCAATTTACATGCCAGTTAGGGTGTTTTAACCTAACAGGTTTTACACATGCAATTGGGGCAGGACAAACAGCATTTATGCACTGTCAACTGCTACAGTTAAGTTGATAGGCAGCAAGTGATTAAGACACAGTAACCTGACCACTTCAGATTATTCCTTGAAATTTTGCTTCTCGTGAAGAAAGCACCCACGTAGAAATTTTGTTAAGCAAGTCTATTTTCCATGAACACATACAGCCTCTCCTCTTTTTAATGCTATACCCTCTTCAGTAATATCTATCTCTGATATGTTTGTACAGTGTAGCACTTTAAGAAATTAAGCTAGACAAAAAAAAAGAAATACTGCTTTCCTCTGGCAATGTGGGCAGGGCTTTGTTAACATAAGGGAAAAACTGGGGAAAATAATGTGGTCACTAAAGCAACCAGATGAGTGCAAAGATCCAGAGGGAATGGAAGTCAGAAGATGCCCTTGCAGCATAAAAAAAAAACAAACTCCAAAGCCTCTGTGTTTGAACAAATTCAGAATAACACATCAATCCCTTCCCAGCAAAGAAGCAAAAACCAGTTCTGTTTGCCTGCTCATTTGCTGTTCTAGTTTGGTTTGTGCATTAACTGAACACTATGTGTTGAAATAATCTGGTAAGAGAAGGATGCAAGAAAGATAAATATAGCTTAAAACAACTTTCAAACTACCAAGAGCAAGTATTCAGATGTTCAGAATAACAGATCACACTCCCATTCAGAAGTTTGCTTCCACACCACTCTGGCCCATTTGAACATTTTATTTAGAACATTACAGAAGGTCAAAACTACTCTGTATTCCCACTGCAGAGGTCACTGAAAAGGCAGTCTTAGCATGCTGTACTAATTGCAGTATTAGAAGCAAGACACATATTAAATTGCACTTCCCAGATCCATCTTGTGTAGAAGCGTTGCAGAAAGACGAAGCAATCATAGCAAAAATATATTGCAATCATGAAACCTTTCTACCAAAACAAATACAAGCCAGCCTCTGCCTGTTAGTTTTAAGCTCCTCCATCTACTTTGTCACATCCCTTTTTCTCTAGTCTTTGCCCAGTCATTCTCTGAACTATTGTCTCAATTTTACTTCTTCACAACTCCACCACTGGCATCCAGCAGTTTACCATGACTTTATCTGAGCTATTAAATGGCTTCCCTAACTCTGTTACAGAGATGAAACTACAGTCTCTTCGCATCCTAGCTAAAAAGTCCTCTCAATTGCCTTTGCTATTTCATTCCATTTAGTCCCACTCAATCATATTCCTAGATTTTTACCTTTCCTTTTCTGGTAATAGATGTTCCGTGACAACAGATAAGAAATCACTTTCTAAGTCTGATTTTGTGAAGTATCTACCATAATGCTCCACATTCATGGAAAAAAAAAAAACAACTGAGAAGCAGCTTATGAGACAAGTTGGCACCCAGGCTGCCATCATCAGTGAAAAGATGGCAATGACAGAGTAGGAAGATGAGAAGATTGACTGAGAAGAGTTCTAGACCAAGGACAAGAATGATGTGTACAAAGAAATGAAGAGAAAATGAAAGCCATAAGCTTTGAAATGTGAGTTAGAGCACCAAGCCAAGAGGAAAAATGTGATGGCATTATATATGATGTTGAGAGAACAAAGTGGTGCTGGATTCCGGAGAGAAGGAAGCAGAAACAGGCACAAGGCAAGAGACAGCCAGGTCCAACTGAGATTTCTGGCACAGCCAAACAAAGCAGAAGGAAAAATTTGACTCTTACTAGCGCTATTCATGCAGAAGTCTCACTGCCCTTTCATCACCAAAATACAAGAAAGACAGTAGAGCACACAAGAGATGCCAAAAACATGAATCTGGATGATTCACAGCCTGAGGGGAAGGTGAGGAAGTTGGCTTTGATTTTTCTGTGTGAAAATTTCCATGCAGCTAGCACCATCCCACTAAAAGTAGGCGCCCACTTAACTGGTGTAACAAGTTTTAAAGTTCTGCAGTGTTTTTCACCCACATTATGCTCAGTCCTACACAGCACAATCAGGTGCTCAGCCACAATATATGCCTTGGGAAAAACTACACAGATGTTCTAAGTGATGAAAGAACTAGCAGCAGGGATAGGCAACACCAGGAATACAACTGATAGCAGCAGTCCTCCACAGGACCCCCTCATCTAGCCAAAGCCACAGGTATTAGGGGGAGGAAGGGCACCTCCAAATTCAAACTTACAGTTACCTAGATTTTAAGACCTTAAGTAATATATTAAAAATAATAGTAATGTTCAAGTCCTTGCCACTGACGTATCGTAAATCTTAATCCCTAACTCTTTTTCTGCTTTCATTTTGCACTGTTTCACCATCAGCAAGAACACAGAAAGAAATGTTTCACTTTTTTTTTTTTTTAAAATAGGCAAATAGAGTCTATTACCATTCACATGTATTAAATAGGTTCCTCATTCAATTCTTTGAACCACTGTAGAGGAAGGAGTTTGTCAACTCCAAGAACATGGGAGACAGAGGATCACTTGCAGCAAAACTCCAAGGGAACTTTCAGGATTGCCAAGCTTAGGAGAAGATGTTACTGACATCTAAGTTAACAAACTCCAAGAAAGGAAGTAATTTAGTCTATTTTGAAAGTATATTCTGTCCCAAACAGATGAATTGCACATGTTCGTGCCAATCTTCACAAAAAGGAAATATACACATAGCTTTATATTAGAGGATAAAGTCAGCCTAAATTTCACACCAGGCTATTTCATTCCGTCATCTTGTATTTAAGAGCTTTCATATCTACTTTGAGCAAAGTTCCCCTGCTTCTCTTATATCATGTAAATTATTTAAGTATATAAGTCTTATGCATTTTCCATTTACTGCCTTCAGCCACTTCACCATCCTTTCTGACTTCACAATTAGTAAATAGATACTGAAATACATAAGCACATAGGGAACTACAGTTTCAAAGCGTTTGAGATCACAAACTGCTCACTAGAGTAAAAACAGAGTTAAAAAGCACTTATAAAAGTAATAAAAAATTAATACCAAAAACCATCAGTACCAATTAGCAAATAATGTATGCAGCCTAATTCAAAGATTAATACAGAACTTCAAAATAATGGTCAAGTTCTGTAGATGTGATCCCAGTGGCATAACCCCAGCTACAAGAGCTGGACAGAATTGCAAAGGTAGGCAGGCACTGCCACCAGCATAAGAATTCTACAGGCGTTGTCTTCTAAATTGTATAGAAACGGGTATAAAAGATTATGTTTGCATTTTACAGGAATTAAAACAAAAAAAACTCCCACGTACCATACTTGTAATTTTTGAAAGGAGGAGGAAGTCCTGTTCTTGAAGGCACGTCTATTAAAATAAAAGCACCAAGTTAAAACAAAGTTGTCTTTTTTTTATTTCCAGTATTTTATTTTCCATTATTTTATGCATGCATCCTGGACATTCTTTACATCAAAATAAACCCACAACACAGGAGACATGTTTGAGCATCAAATACTAAAACACAACCTTTCGCTCAGATTCTATAGTTACCCCATATCTGATTAACTTCACTTGAGCATGAAGTCCCTCTGAACAAAACAACCCATGAGGACAGTGAGTCAATGCAATTAGGATATGATCATGGGAGTCTGATCCTTCAGAAATCTGCCACGAACATCCTGTTAATGGTTTGCACAGCATCTCTCTCTACTTTATACAAACAGTTGACATCTGTCATTCATAACTGAATTGTTCAGTAAACACAGCCATGCGAACCAGCCACAAAAAAGAAGCCAAACTGTAGAAAATTAACTCTTTAGCTGCATGCAGGACACAGCCGATAAGCAACTGCAAGAACACGAACACCCTCCCTGGTGCCAGTGTTCCCAGTGACACCCAGGGATTTAACCAGGGCCTTGGAAAGCCCAGCCATTTGTGGGGTGCTCGGCAGCAGGGCGGCTGAAACCGTAATTTCATCAGTACTTTAACAATTTATCTCAAACTCCCCCTCCAAAACAGATTACAGTAAAGGAAAGAACACAACTCCTTTTGGACCAGCAACAGCACTATCCATCCATCTGTGGAATGAGGTTCCAAAAAGTCTTGTTCAAGACATCAGCTTTGTCTCAAATAATAGCAAGTTGTAATACTGCACACATCAAAAGCAAGTTTCTAAGCATTCTTTTTTATTTTATTCTTCATAACAGCAGCTGTACCATATGTTCTGAAAGTGCTTGTAGTTTTCTAAAAGCATCCTAAGATCTTGCCATGCCTATCACTGTCTAGAAGCATGGAAGTTGCTGAAAATACAATACAACTGTGAAGCTCAGGGCAATGTCCTAGGAGTTGCTCAAATGTTATCAGCTATAACAGTTCCAGACTTGTTGAAGCTGACTTCACACAAAAAAATCAAATGATGTTATTCTGCACCCTTTAAATGTCTCCATTTAGGTGTGTAGAAATACACCTGCAAGATTAGGGTAACACCCTAACTACTGAGTCGCTGCGTGGGCTGGTCTACATTAATTAACTTTTAGATACACTGCCACTTTCAACCAGGATCCCAAAACACAAAACCCATAGATGAGTAAATCTGCACCGCAAAGCTCAAGATGGAGACAGAAACTCAGAAGCAAACATGCACAGTGAGACCTCACAGTGTCAAAAACAATTTTTCAAGATCCTCTCTTCTCACAAATAGCAAACAGACTTGCATTCCTACATTCCACATATTGGTGTAGCTCCTAAGGATCAAAGGCTCTCTAAATTTTATTAATTTACTCCTGTTAATTTACGAATAGCTGCCTGACAGCACCACTCAAGGAGTCTGACGCACTGAGCCAAATGCAGCAATGCCCTCGTCTCTTTTTCACTAAACCTGGGGACTTGGGAAGGGGAAGTAGTCTTCCCAAATTTAGGCATGGCACACTGACCATGAAAGCTCTTATTAACTCCAGACCTCTCATCCAAGGGAGGAGAGTACACAGGGGATGTAAATACAAATCTGGCATCTCTGCCAAAGCTGCAGAATTCCCATTCATTTGCTCCCCTCCACTTTCTTGTGCAGAGACAGCAACACATGGGACTGAAGCGAATGAATACGACAATTGCCCCTTACCCTTCCGCACAAAAGTAATGAACTGCTTTACTGTCTGATCCAAGTTAACTCCATGATACACCACAGGTCTGAAGTTCCGGTGTTCAAAAGAGCGAACAAGACGGACTGTGATGGTTGAGTTTTCTGCTGACATGAGAATTAACTCTGAATAACCTAGAAAACATTAAAGAGAGGAATTATTGCCTTTCCCCTGTGTACAAGCACAGTTAGAAAACAAGGTGCAGGTGGGCCTCATGCAAAGATTAAAACACAGAGAGAAATTCAATAGCATTATGTCTTTCAGGACTTAACTTCTATTATTTCTACAGAAGCAGTAACAGGATCTCAAAACAAACAGGGTTACCTAGGATATTATTGATATTGCACACCAAATAGTCTAGTATTTGTACCTTGTGCTGTGTACCAGAGCACCAGACTCCCTACTAAACACACAAAAATGTTATGGATAAATGCAAGTATGTGGTTTGGGTTTTAAGTGACCGAAAACTTTACCTGCTGGGTGAGTAACCTTGTGCTCTAAAAGAATGTACTAACATGAACAAAACCAAAATCTTTTTAATATACTTATGTTGCAGAGAGCATAATACCCTGAAAAATGCCTAAGCTGTTACACAACGCTCATTTTCACCTCCCTACAGAAAGTGGAAAAACCTCCCCCACATACACATGCAAGTAACTCTCCTGGTATACTACTACATAATTAAGGGGTTTAATTTAATTTGTAATAGTAGGTCTTTAGAATGGCTCTACAGAGCTTCTACTACTTTAACAGAGAGCAGAACCTACAATAGTATCACCTCATCAACCCGAGCCCCTCTTCAAACAAGCCCACACTATGTTCCGTTGGGTTCTTTCTCTCCACAGGAAAACAAGCTGTTTCCTGCTCCAACAACCTTCTCTGTTTTTGGTGCTGGGTATTCCTCAACAACCTTGCTTTCTGGTCACACACTACACTGCCGAGGCTGCGGCAGCAATGAGCAAAGACTGCTGTCTAAGTGCTGCAACATCAGCCAGGGGCACAGCACGACCTCTGCATCTCCTATCCCTTACCAGCTGCTTCAATCACCACTTCCAGTCCCACAAGGGATTCTCTCACCTATTCATCCCTTTGGGGGGG